ATCCGCATAACCCATTGCATAGTAGGTTTAATTTTTTTTTTATTTTGTTCTTTTTCTTTTGTCTCTGATGACTTTCCCTAACCTATTTCACTCACTCCTACAATGTTTCATCAACAGGAATGGAACCAAAGAAGTCCAATCCAATACAATCAATGCCCAGTCGTAGACAAAAAAAGGGCTGCAAATCCTAGCCAACCTGCAACACAAGCCAAACGTAAGTGGGCTCATGCACTCCGCATTACTACGGAGCACTCCTCCTAGTCTGAAGAGGAGGAGTCATAGAGTGACCTCGGACCTACTGTTGATCTACAGACTGAGGCACGAAGGAAGCTAGAGGAGGACCTTAACCTCCGGTTTGAGGTCATGGGCTCCCTATATTTATACAAATCAGGGCTTTCAAAGAGGAAAATTCTCGACAAAAAGCAATTGAGCTTAAATGGACTGTTGGAGCATTACCCTCACATACTCGAGAACATCAAGTAGAGGAAGTGGGAGTTCTTCACTGAGGTCCCGGATGAATAAAATGAGTCAGTTGTGAGGGAGTTTTATGCTTCATATGGTGCCTCAAGGAGTGCTTCACAGAAGCGCAACATGATCTTTTCAAAGTCTGTCCTATTGCGATGGGTTGAAGTTAGTTGTGGTGCTGAGACGATCAATGAACGGTATTTCGAGGATTGGCGGTCATACACAGCTGAATATGATGCTAAGGTCGCCAACAAACACAATGAGCGTTCCTGGGTTGCCTCCCTCATAACAAAGGGGAGACCGGCCTAGACTGACCCTAAACACAAAATTTTCAAGGATCATCTCACAAGGGAGGGTCGCTACTGGCTTAGGTTTGTTACATCCCGTCTGATGCCGTCCAGAAATGAAACTGATATCAATATTGAGAAAGCACTCCTCATTGCGTGCATCATGACAGGGATCAAGATTGATGTGGGGGAGATAATATTCCAAGAGCTGGGAATTAGAGCCAACTAGAAACAAACCTCACTTCCTTTCCCCTGCTTGATCACTGCTTTTTGCCAAGCAGCAAGTGTGCCTCATCTGCCTAGGCATGACAAAATGGAGAAGGCTACCAAAGACATCGACATCATGAGAATCAGTGACGCAGTAGCAAAGGAAACTGCAACTCAGTCAGAGACTCTCATTCCTCCTCCAGCAGATATAGCAGCATCAGAGGGCCCAGCATTGCCGGACACCTCTCAGGCCCCAGCTACCTCCACAGCCATTCCACAACCCTCCACTGCACAGGCCCAAGTCCCTTTACCAGCTCTGTCCAAGCTGGGTCTACTTGCTCAGCATGCCAATGCTAAGGTAGACCGGCTTACCAAGGAAATTCCCAACCTCATCCGTCAAACATTGACCCCTATCCAATCCTCAATGACTGTTCTTCAACAGCAACATCAAACTTATGAGGATCACCTCAAGAGCGTTGAATCACATCTTGAAAAGGTTGAACGGGGTGAGCTTGGAGGTATGCCTTAGCTCCGGAAAGATGTTAATGTCTTGAAAGCTGAGCTGCAGAAGATGTAGAGTTTAGAGTTTGATTTGATAGCCTTCCTCCCGAAGGATGGAGAGCAGGGTGCTGACACTTCTGTCCCAGACATGGATATTGATTTCACCAGCTGCAGTTTCACTCCCAGCAGCCGATCACACAGCTACCCTAGATCCTTCAGCTTCCTCGAGTGCCTAGTGCGCCCCAGGGAGTCCCTTAGCTTTCTTTTGCTTTATATATGCATTAGGGACAATGCATGATCTTTGGTTGGGGGTGGGGTAGTTATGATCATGATCCTGTACTCCATGTTTTGTATAAATATTGTGTTGTACCCCATGTTTGTATATAACCTCTTGTAGTTTAGCAATGAATTCCCTTTGGTTTTTCTTCGACGGGTTCTTTTCCAAGGGTGTAATAGTAGAACTATGGCAGTAGCATAAAATGTCTTGACTTATTTGGTGTTGACTGTGTAGCTTCAAGCATGTGCTAAATATTGTAAATATATGATACCCTTCCTTCTTTTGAATCTAAAAAAATATATATGTTGGTTAGTCATTCTTGTGAATTTGAGGCTCGCTCTTTAACTTTAAGCTATTCACAATCTTACGTATGTTGAGATGAAAGTGACGTCCCGGTTTTCTGTTTGTCTTTTTCTTTCCTTTGTCCTTTCTTTCTTTTCGAGTTTTTTCCTTTTCTTTCTTTTTTATTTTGGTTCCGTTTTATTATTTCTCTTTTCCCCCTTTTTTAGGGTCTTCTCTCCCTTTTATGTTTTGTTTTGGGGTCATTTCTTTATGTTCTTTTTTATTCATTCCCTAATTATCAAAATCAGGAGCGAAGCTACAAAACGTTATTAGGTATATAGGTAAAATACAAATTTTTTACAAAGGTTACATTTTTTCCAATTTCCTTATTGTTTTTCTCCTTTTTTTTTTCCTTCAATTTTTTTATTTGGGAAGTAAATTTTTTCAAATAATGATGTTGTCGTTGACTGCTGTCAAAGTATAAAAACTTGTTAAGACGATTGTAGATCAAATGATATTTCTCGTGTATTAACTAAAGTTTACTAGTCTAAGTTGTTATCATGGCAAATTTTTATGAAATTAAATCAAATGGTAGTAGAGTGCACCCATCTTCTTAAAATCCTGGATAAGCCTCTGCATACACAATGTACACAGATACGGATAGATTTAGGCATAAGGGATGCACGTGAAGGAGATAAACTTAAATTGTTATATTTGATATCTCTTGATCAAAAAAGTTGCATAAATGATAAGGAGAAAGACTCCTTACTCGAAGAGAACTTTATCCAAGGGAGGAGTTAGAAGTTGAAGATAACTAGAACTCTTCCACCAAGGAAGAGTATAGCATTAAAACTCTAGTTATTTCCTATTCTACCAACTCTATAAATTACAGTATGTTCTCACTTTACAGGTACACACAAATGTTGAAGTTAAACGTGAGTTGAGAGCAAAATAGCAAGACATTTTGCAAGCAATTCTTGTGTGATTCAAGTGTGCGAACCTGTAGCTACATGAACCAGATAGAAGAACCAATTCCAAGTGTATGTCTTTTATTAAAGTTCAATTGTAGTAGGTGTTTACAAGTTGTACCTTTTAGCTTTATCTAGAAGCAATTGTATTAGGTACTCTATGTATTGTATTGAAGTTAGAGTTAACTTGAAGTTGTCGCAACAGTTAGAGGCTAGTTGCCATAACGGAATTAGAGGTAATCCTTAGGTTTACAAAGAATTTTGTAAATGGTGTTTTGGCTCAGTGATTTAGTGAAGTGTTGGGGAAAATCCTACTGAGTAGTAGGTCGTGATTTTTTCACCTTTTGAGCCGGGTGTTTTTCACATAAAAATACTTGTGTTCTTTACTTTCCGCATTTATTATTTTCGCAATAATAGTATAAGAAACACATAGAAGAATCAGGTCCTTCTATAATCTGTGCACGCAAAAATTGGACATCACACAAATCGCCCCTTCTTGTGCGACATTGAAGTACAAAACATCATATTCACATGCATGTTATTCAATCTATTACTATAAATTAGAGAATAACCAGTCTATATACACATACAAGCTGAGGTTTCATGAGCTGTATCGAATTAAATCACATGATGCTCGCCACCATTTGTGCAACCCTATCAATTTCTTTGAGTTTCATTCATGCCACTTCATTCTCCACACAAAGTATTTCACACTTCAGTTGGATCCTTGACTAAAATTGAACGCTCATCGTTCATCCACGAATTTACTTCTGGGATACTTATCATGTTCATTTCCCATGCTTTTACATCTCAGCATTGGACAAACGTCAAATTTGGTAGATTATAAGACATGTTGAACGTCCTTCAGAAACCCAATTTTAAGGGTCATAATTTGACATTCCTTAAGATGGAAGAATACTCCACATGTATATCCTCTTGCCAATGTTATATTCCTTCTTCTTGCTAAGTTATTCCTTAGTGAATGTTTTGTTGTCATGATCCCTTGCGTTTGGATAAGTAGTAGTAGTACCTATATTACCTTCCATTCGGGCTGATGTTGAGAAATGAAAAGTTTGAAGTTTTTTGGCCCAAAAAAGAGAAGAAGGCGGTGGTGTCAGCATATTAATTAAGCCCTATTATGTGCCCATGCCCCAGTCCAGTATACATGGATATATGAGGCATATGGCAATATGGAGGTAAAAATTTAGGGTCATACGGCATATGAAAGTAAAACCAAAAGAGAATCTCCCATTGGCTCTCCACACTATCCAAACAAAAGTTAACTGCACGTAAGCCACATGATTCTTAGTTTCTTACTATTTCTTATTTCTTGAGAGCCCTCCACTGCATCAGAGTATCTCTTTACTACTGAACAAAATCTTCTAGTACTTCGTTTCCTCTCTATGAACAAAATCCGCGCGCCAATTAACAAACCAGGTCGATTGACAACTGCGCGCAGGTTTAGTTCGACTTGAGCTATATATATATATACTTAGACCACTCGCCAACTCTAAATGCTAAATATGCCTATATTGACAAAGCAAAAGGAAATGATATATTTGTCATTGAACAATTTGAAACATGAATATTAGGATAATCAGAGATTTTCAAGTATATATAGGATGAGTGCATGTATACAACAAGAAAAAAAAAGATTTAGTCCTATCAACAATCATGTAAATTAAATGTAGTAAGAATGTGACTCATGAGTAAGAACACTTAGAGCTATATTATTCTACTGCCACATGTGCAAAAGATTCTTTTTTAGAAGAATATCGAGATGACATCAAATAAACATTCTTTTTTTTCCCATGGCAATTTGGTGGCCCAGTTTATTTGTCCACCATTTCTTGTTCCTCCTCTCTATCCCCTGGCCTTAATTTCTTCTTGCCGCGGCATTACGAAGATTACCTAAACCTGAAATATATAGTCAAATTGGATATATAGAAGGAACAAAGTAAACAAGATTTTTTAAAAACAGTTACATTGTAATGTTCTGCTCTTGTTTTAAGGTCAAAGAAGCAGGAAAATGGCCATGGCAAGAATGAGACAAGTGATAAAAGGATGGCTTTGAAATTGAATGGATTTGGAGATAAGTGTATCAGGTGGAGGAGGGTTGTAATAATAGAAAGGGAAATACGGTACAATGGGGTTTGGAGGTGGAGGAGTTGGATATATAGAAGGGTTGGTCGGAGGATAGACGTAGTTACCATCACCGCGACCACCACCGCCATTATAAGGTGGCGATAGAGGTTGAGAGCAGTCTCCCGGGCAAGAACTGGGAGGTGAAGGAGGCGGCGGATAATTATAGTCCGAGGGTGGGGGCAGAGGTGGTGGCAGCGGCGGTGATAGTGGAGGAGGGCATGGAAGCAGAGGTGACGGTGGTGGTGGAGAGAAGATTGGCTGACATGGGTTGTCACACGAGGAGCACATTGTGCAGGCTATTTGGTCTTTGGCCATTGCTGTAATTGTTGACATGGGATAAGTTAATTGGACTTTGAACGAAAGGAGAAGTAAACTGAGGCTGCAGAGAGATAGTAGTAATTGAGAATGCAGGGGAGCCCCCATGTTGAGAAGGCTCTGAATTGCAGAATCTGCAACAATCCAGAGAAGAGATGAAGCAAGGCAAAAAGAGGAGTTTTGAATGTACAAATACAAGAAGTAAAGGCAAAGTTATTTATGGCACTATAGAAAAGGAGTGTTGGGTGGAAAAGTGAGAAGAGAGACTGAAAAGAGATACTCCAGCAGTGAAGGGCTAAAAGAGTATGACATAGTGAAGACAATGGATGTGGGGTTTGATAGAGGAGTGCATGTGTATTGATGACCGCACCATTCCCTAGAGTTTTATCTTCTAAGCTAAGCCACCATTCTCTCTGC